TTGGTGAAAACGATATTCTATTTAAGTCGCAGTATGGCTTCCGCGAAAACCATTCCACGCAACATGCCATTATTGATATTGTTAATGTCATACAAAACAATGTGGACCAAAAACTTTTCACTTGCGGGGTCTTTTTAGACTTAAAAAAGGCCTTTGATACCGTCGACCATTTAATCTTGCTCCAAAAACTTAATCATTATGGCATCGAGCAGAAGTGTGATCATGTGACACATCCGTACCCAACAAGGAACCAAAATGACCTTGGGTTCGATATTGTGAAAATGCCCCTTTTACGTTCCCTACACCTGGCACACACTGGGGGTATTTAAACGTTAGATCAATGACATTCTTTAAGTCTAACGCATGGCATTCACGGAAAACAGCTTTAGTGTTATAGTATGTGCAGTTTGAATTTTAAATATCTTAGCGTATGTGATATGTATTTTTATGGGCCGATGAATTGATCGTGTTTAAATAAAGATTACACACATCAGAGGGATTATCAACGCTTGGTTTGCCTCGTACCTTCTCGGTCGTTCACAAGTAACTGAAGTAGGCTTTAACTTATCTACCGAATGTATGATCTCATGTGGTGTCCCACAGGGGTCTGTGCTTGGTCCTCTTTTATTCTTAATCTATATTAACGATATTCATAACTCTTCAGCGAAATTGTCATTCTATCTCTTTGCTGATGACACGAGCTTGTTGTATGCAGACTCTAAATTGAAATCTCTTGAAAAAACCGTCTATAGCAAACTGCTCAAAGTCTCTGATTGGCTCAATGCAAATAAGTTAACGCTCAATGCTAAAAAGTCAAACTATGTTATCTTTTGTCCATATCAACATAAGTTGAACTACTTGGTTAACATCAAAATGATCGATAACTGTTCTCAAATTCCTACCACGCTTCAGCGCGAAGACCATGTTAAACATCTTGGCGTCCTATTGGACAGCAATTTACTGTTGGAAATTTCAAATTAATAATGTTGCGCAATTCCTAATGAATTTCGTCAACTCTCCAAAGGAGCTTTTAAGAAAAATTTTCATGACTTTTTGCTCTCGATAATGGAAGCAGAAAACGATTATGTTGAAGTACCTATTCTTCTACAAAAAATGGCAAAATCTGTATCCTTGAATCAATGTACTAATAATCGATAGGTTCTGTTAGGAGTAAATTTGATTGTAATATTATTCTGTAAGACTATATATTTTTTAACCCGAGCTTGTTTTTCAGTAATTCTTATTTATCCAGATAGTTTATTTAGTTACTTTGCAATTATGATTAGTTAGTTAGTCAGTTAGTTAGTTACTTACTTTACAATTATTATATTATCTGTTATGACTGCTGTAATCTTACCTCTCCGCCCGCCTCGTCTAGCTTTTGCTATTTGCAGGTGGAGATGGCAAAATGATGTGCGTGAAATAAAGAGTTCATTCATTCATTCATTCATTCAGGTGTATGGTATGGACCTGAGTCATGTCATGTCATGTCATGTCTTCTCTGTCTCTTCTTCATGTACCTCGGTCTAATCAGAAGACCTATGGCGACAGAGCTTTCGCAGTCGCTGCCCCGCGACTGTGGAATGCTCTGCCCATTCAGATGAGGCAGCCTGGGACTACACTAGACACATTCAAAAGGAGCCTCAAGACCCTTCTTTTTAGACAAGCTTTTTATCGTTTTTTGTAACTTTTTATTTATTTTCAAAATTGTAAAGCGCCATAGAGCTTTTAGGATATGGCGCTCTAAAAATCTATATTATTTATTTTATTTATTTATCTCTTGAAAAAACCGTCAATAGCAAACTGCTCAAAGTCTCTGATTGGCTCAATGCAAATAAGTTAACGCTCAATGCTAAAAAGTCAATTATGTTATCTTTTGTCCATATCAACATAAGTTGAACTACTTGGTTAACATCAAAATGATCGATAACTGTACTCAAATTCCTACCACGCTTCAGCGCGAAGACCATGTTAAATTTGTTGGCGTCCTATTGGACAGCAATTTACTGTTGGAAATTTCAAATGAATAATGTTGCGCAATTCCTAATGAATCTCGTCAACTCTCCAAAGGAGCTTTTAAGAAAAATTTTCATGACTTTTTGCTCTCGATAATGGAAGCAGAGAACGATTATGTTGAAGTGCCCATTCTTCTACAAAAATGGCAAAATCTGTATCCTTGAATCAATGTACTAATAATCGATAGATTCTGTTAGGAGTAAATTTGATTGTAATATTATTCTGTAAGACTATATATTTTGTAACCCGAGCTTGTTTTTCAGTAATTCTTATTTATCCAGATAGTTTATTTAGTTACTTTACAATTATGATTAGTTAGTTAGTTAGTTAGTTAGTCAGTTAGTTAGTTAGTTACTTTACAATTATTGTATTATCTGTTATGACTGCTGTAATCTTACCTCTCCGCCCGCCTCGTCTAGCTTTTGCTATTTGCAGGTGGAGATGGCAAAATGATGTGCGTGAAATAAAGAGTTCATTCATTCATTCATTCATTCATTCATTCAGGTGTATGGTATGGACCTGAGTCATGTCATGTCATGTCATGTCTAGAGTCTCTGAATGCTCAACCTGTGTACAGCGAACTTCCTACCTTCCAAAAGAATATTGGGTCCTTCCCGATTTTCTCTTGGAGGGTAGAGAGGCGGCTTTAAAGAGGCTACAGCTGAGTGTGAATGTGGAATCTGAATTAAGGGCTAAGGTTTGACTTCTCACCTACCAACTGTGGTGTTAATGCTTAAATACCCACTGAGATTTTGGTACAAACACAACGATATTTAATAAACATGAAAGACCATACCCGACTACCGAAAAACTCGTTTTCTTTTCGACCGCGTGTGCATTCCGAACACTGTGATTGACAGCTGTCAGAAACACTACACCGACCATAGTCCCCCCTAGGACGATAAAACTTCATGATTGAATATAACCCTTGCTGACCTAACTACCGTTGTAGTGTATTGAATATAGATGTACCGATTAATTGCTCACAAAAACCGAGTGCGGGTTGTAAGGTGAGCATTTGTACTTTAATTCAGTAAATGTACTACTCGCAGTAATCCGACTATACTGGAAATACCTGCATGCTATAGAATTACTATAAGTCAGTAAACTCTTTTACCTCTATATGTGTAATGTGTTTGTTAATAAAGTTCAGTTTGCCTTCGGCAATGAAAGAGTAACAGTCTCTTTGTGTCTGAATGACGACACTACAGCCGTCATATCATATCCAACAAGCCCACCATTCCCGTAGATGTTTCCTTACTCTGAACTGGTCAGCTCAGACGACCACCACAAACCGTATAATATTCATCCAAGCTTTAATAATTATTCGATCTTAAAGAAGGACCATTATAATGCGAAATCTAAAAAGCGCAAATCAAGTATTAATCTCCTAGCAAAATACAGAAAAAGTGATTGGAAACTTACTGGCGGGTCGTTAAAACAGGTCTCTCTTTACAGGTTAGCGGATTATTGAACAGACTACGGAAACGATTTCTCTTTCGATTCTTCTGAAAAACTGGTTTTAAGGTTACCGTGCACCTTCAGGGGTGTCTCGCGTGCAAGCGATGTTGCGCGTCCAGTTTAAACCGTAGATATCTAAACCCCTATATCAAATTAAAGCTTATAGGACTGGCTATCAGACTATACCAAACACTTTGAAAAAAAAAAAAAGGAATTGTCGAATTTTTCACGACTTCTAAATGCGAGCGCCCGAATCACCTTTGAACGTTACATGCCAAAGCGAATTTTGTTTTTCGCTCATTTAATGTGTTCCTCCGTTTCCGGGGCCAAAGCGCTAAAAAAACGTGTCTGCGATTTACCATATTCAATTTCAGTGATAAGTTACAGAACATACATTTTTCAAATAGGATTAAAAAAATTTGGAGTCATCGTACAAAAATCGCTCTTGAAAAAAAAGTATTTAGAAATTAAAAATTTGGAGACACGTTTTTGTTGTTTATATGTAAAACTAGCTACGTACTGTCAAAATTTGAGAGCAATCGAACAAATTCCCTTTGACTTGTATCTCTTAAGTTTTGTAATCAAAATGAATCTGTCATCAAGGCAACGTCTACTTACTAAACGAAACAGTTGAGAACACAGGAGCTTATAGCATGAAGCTCTTGACTATACCTTAGGGCTTGTCTTAGCCCAAAGAAGCACTGTGGGGACAGAAGACATCAGTTTCGTGGGTCAGGAGTTTTAGTGCAATAAAACAGCTACTTGTTTGAGCCTAGAGCAAGGCGAATGCTAGTACAAGAACGTACTTTTCGGTTTAAAAGGCGAACATCCAACTGAACCCTGGAATTTATTTCCACTGTAGATGTACAAACTAAAACCTCGACTATAAATGCTATGATTGGCCAAAATAAAATGGAATATTCATGTGGCTTAGTGAACGTGAGTGACACAAAAAAGGGAAACACCCTACGAAAACGAAGACCATTACGAAAACAAAGACCCATTACGAAAACAAAGACCCATTACGAAAACAATAAAAACAATAAAGCAATACAGAAACAAGGCACCTGAATTCTTTGCCGGCGAAAACCACAGGGAGAAATGGTGTGAAAACAGGTAGTTACGAAAACCAAGACCCCGAAAACGAAGACCTAAGACCCCCTACGAAAACGAAGACCCATTACGAAAACGACGACCCATCACGAACACGAAGACACATTACTAAAACACCATTACTCCCTGTGGTTTTCACCAGCAAAGAATTCACGTGTCTTGTTTCTGTATTACTTTATTGTTTTTATTGTTTTTATTTTTTCCGTAACGGGTCTACGTTTTCGTCAAGGGTCTTTGTTTTCGTAGGGGGTCTTCGTTTTCGTAGGGCGTCTTCGTTTTCGTAGGGGGTTTTAGGTCTTCGTTCTCGTAACAACCCACAAGGCTTACTAAAATAAGCACACATTTGTCGTGTAGAGAAGGGTAAGAAATTCCTGCTGAAACTATCATCCCGTTATCCGAGAAGACTAGAATGACCATCTGACCATTTGCACACAACACATACTTCTGAGTTATTTTAAGAAGCCGAGTATCGGTTCGATCTGAGGCCTAACTCTCGACCCTAGAAATTAAGCTTATCAGACTACGCCTGAACTCTTGTTTGTTCCACTTTTTAAAACGTGGAGGGAAATACTCTACTAAATTTTTAGTAACTTACATGCCTAAACTTGAGAGCAATAGAAACAACATATATTAAGCTATGTCCCTGCAGAACTGCACTGTTACGCCCTGTAATAACAGTCAAGGTGTTAAGAATCCAATTATATGTTACATAATGATAACAAGCTGAGCCTCCTAAACACCACAGGACACCTATCAGTATAACTGGTTTTCGTATGTAGACAGGAGGCCACTACAAACGGCGGGTGATAGTTCATGATGATTTATGACTAGAATTGAGATGGTGAAATGGCAGTGTCCCCAGTAGCTTCTAAGTACCGTCCACATCTTCGCACCCGCCGAGTAAGTTGCCTCAGAAATCCTTCCAGGACTTCATAGCCTGGCTCTTTGAAGCCCTGATATCTTGCCATTCTGCTCTCATCCAGGTCATGAGGCCTCTGTCCAGTCTCCCCTTGCAGCCGATCGAGTTGTTGGAGCCGGTCCTGTGCTCCCTTTATATCTGTCTGCAGATGAAGATTTTCTGCTATTCTCAAAGCCTCGGACACTGAAAGGATGGCTGATGAGAAGCAGGAAAAAGTAATGTTCAAATAAGTATAATGACACTACACTTAGGCTATCTTAAGAATCAATTTATACGCACCATTGCAAACAAGTTACATTGAACAAAACTAACAAAAACAAAATTTCCAACTGTCACGTCAAACCTTCTTCATATTGCCCTTTCCTGGTCAGTAGGTCACCATAGGCATTACAAAACAATGCCTTGTCTCTCATTGGGCAGTTTATGAGAAACTCTCTGTTGAATTGTTGAACATAACATTCCACTTTGCCTAACGCTTCGTTGGACACAGCTATCTGCAGGTTTGTGGCTTGGTCTCTGCTAGAGTGAAGGTAGAAGAAAATTATTCTGATCAGAGCCCTTCTGGGACAATTAGCATTCCCTCTTTGAGTTTTGTTGAGCTGGTGCCTGTAGTGCAGTATTGCATCTACCATGGCTTTCTCGAGCCTCCTTTTTTCTGGCTCAGTGATTCCCACAACAATCCCCTTCTCAGACAACAGAGCAGCAAGACAGGTTCGATTGATTGCAGTCTCTTCACCAAGGACAACGGCCTCTAGGAGCTGCAAAAAAAAAAAAAAAAAAAAAAAAAAAAAAAAAAAAAAAAGAAAGAAAAGAAAAATCCCGTAAGCCCCTTCCAACCTGCCACGTATAAACTTCTTGCTCTCTTCAGAAGGTAGCAACAAGACTCTGAAACAGAGCCAATCAAAATCATACAGTAGAGTACTTTCAGAAGACAAGGCATCTTCCCAGAGCAAATTTATCAACTTTGCTTTTTTGATGTGAATATGTGCAGAAAAAAACCAATTTCATAGCTGCTACATATTTCATTCAACAGAAGCAAATTATAAAAAGGGCCATGAACTAAAGTGGGGATGTTCTCAGGTAAGTTTTCAGTAAGGTGTTAGGTGAAATGAGTAAAAAGACAGAAACATTTAACAGGGGAAGGCAACAAAATGTCTCTCACGGCCGGTGAATTTCATAGCAGCCTAGGTAGCATGAGCAGATTTTTCATTTTCTACACATTCATTAGTAGAAATAAGGCTTATGTCCAGATGTAGATACAATGTAATAATAGAACCTAAATAGCTAAACCTTGGTACATATAAAACCAATGGTGCCAACATGAAATGAAAAATGGTCCTACAACATGTAAATGGGGTAGCTAACCTCAGTAGAAGAGTCCAAAAATTCCTCTGCCTTAGCAAATTTCCTTTCCATCTTGTAAGCACTTGAGATTGTGCATTTCACCCGACCAACAATGGAATTAAAATTTGGTGAACGGTTGGTGTTTGCTTGAATGCAGATACTCTCACCCAACTGCTTACATCCCTCATAATCTCCCATTTGATACAGCAGAAGACTTTCCTAAAATAAGTATATGAAATTATAAATAAGGAATTCAAGTAAATATTTCTAGGAATACTATTAAGATCATGCTACTACTCATAATATTGTAGTTTATTACGATGAACAAGCATTGGGAATTTTTTGTTCTGACATAAAAAAAATAAAGGCAAAGTTTTAATTTTTATTTTTTTGTGTGCTTGTGTGGCTGCATGTGCCTGTTCTTGCATCCCATTTTGGTCATGAGGCACAGACCTCACAAACCTCACAAACCTTGCAGTGCTCAGTATGTAAATCATGACCTCAAGCCAAATATTTTTCTGTCCAGCCCTCCCACTCAGTCAATAAGTACCTATTATTGTATGACAGGGCAGTGTGAGGTAAATCCCAGTATTCTGATTGGTTTTTACTTGGTCTGTATTTTCTATACAGACTATTTTCACGAAAATGGTCACATACTGTGTGTTTTAGTTGTGAAAGCAGCAGGATTGGTCTGAGTGCCATATAATTAACTACTTCCTAACCTCACTTGCTCAAGCTGTTCTGGGGAATATTGGTCCTTAGTCATTTCCTCACACTTAGTTAGTAAGAAGTTATCATAACTATATCTAGCAGTTGGTACCTGTGCTGATCAATTTAGCAGGCTGTATTTCATTTAAAAGCCCACTAAATTAAAAAGTTTGTTTTCAATGAGGTCTTTCCCAATTTCACTGTATTTGAATACAGAGATACAAGACTCTTTTTCTGGGTCTGCATGTACTAGCAGTAACTTACAGAACCTTGCTTTTATACTTGGTTTATGGCCTGCACAGAAAAAAAGTACAGACCTTGAAATCAGTTTGTAAGAAGTATTCAAAACACAAGCACTGTAATGTGCTAAACAAAGGCCAAGCAAATAAGCTTCAACATCTTAACAGTAATTTCATGGTACTGAATCTATGGAACTATAAGACTTGTATACTCTGTAATAATGTAACATTGACTACCTCCAGCTTTACAGCAAGACACAAATCCTGCAATAAAGCCTCTGAATGACTGAACACATCTTTGGTCTGCAAGAGACGGAGTTGATCTCGTCTGAAGCATTCACTTGCACCTGACAAGAAAATATAACAATTTTTGCATGACATATTTGGTTTATTGCAAGTCAGAGCAGAGCACAGTGTCTTTCCATTCATTATTTCTTCCAATATTCAGTATACTGTGGATAAAATTCAATGACTCAAAAGTTGCACACAAAATATCAGATTCTTTCAACAGAAAGGTTTGCTCCAAATGTATCACAGGATTCCTTATTGTACAGGCAGAAAAATTGGACATCTTAAATGATACGGACTGTTCTGTTCTTGTCCTACCTACAGAATCAAATTGAAAGTAAATCTATGCTATTCAAGACACAATCACAACCATTGAAATACAAAAGATGTACAGAAAACATTCAATAATCAAATAAATTATATAATTATTGAGAGCAAATGCCCCTAATTAAATCAATTTGACAAACATCCATTAACCATTTACACCTTCACATTGGTATTCATATTCTCCACACTGTTCCTTCTACATTCCCTTTGATAATGATAGGAGAATTTGTTTGACAATCAGGAGCTTCTTAGATTAGTGATCATTTCCTTTGTTCTCCTGACCTGAAAATTTGATTTCTGGGTGATGTACTGTGTGGAGAAATACAAAGCCAATCACTTTAAGGGTTTTAAAAAAGGTCGATGTCGGTAATTATAGTAAAGTTGTTGTGATAAATAAATAAATCAGGTAAATGTACTACAGTTTTCCTTGTCCTTAAACCTACCATTTTCCACTAATTCCTGAAAATATGATACAATCTGCTGAGCTTCTGGAGTTCCCAAAATACCTGATGTATGTAAAAATTATACAATCCCATTGCGTATTGCAATATACCAGCAGAAACCCACTGTTTTGCCCAAAGTGTGTTTTCCTGGAAATGTTTTGCTCGATCTCAAGTTGTATCCCGTGGAAAAAAGGCACTTACAATAGTCACAATTAGAAGCTTATACTTGCCTTACCAAACTACAAACTATATTAATTTTTATACAACCTAAAATGATGATCACGGGCTACCCATTTGAAATAAAGTCTATTGAAATAAAATAAAGTCTAAAAAAAACTGTTACTGACAGTACATAACATGTACATAATGCAATTTTTGTGCTGCCATTTGTTGCAGCCATTGCATAGAATGATTTTAACCGCCTCCCGGTTAGCTCAATTGGTTAAGCGCGGGACTGTTGTTCGGGAGGTCGAGGGTTCGAGCCCCGGCCGGACCAACACTCAGGGTCTTAAAATAATTGAGAAGAATATGCCACCTTTCAATAACATCAATCAAGAAATGGTTAGATATTCTAGTCTTCTCGGATAGAGACGAATAAATGGAGGTCCCATCTCCTGCATCTATTAATTAGTTAATTTGGTGAGGCAGGGGACGTTAAAGAACCCACTTCACGAGATTACTGTGATGTGGTCTGGCCTGGTTACTGGGAATTGGGGGAAGGGGGCATCTGTCATATTCGCCTTTATTTGATTGTAAACTGCTTAGCAGTCTGGTAAAAGTCCCCCGCACAGTGTTGTAAAGCGCCACGAGTTCAAGATATGAGCGCTATATAAATACAAGTTATTATTATTATTATTAGAAGGGCTTCTTGATGAGAACTTACAAACTTCTTGTATTTAATGTATAGATGAACCACTTTCCATAAGAATTTTTGATGGTTTGCAGTTCAAATGAACAAATGACAAGTTACAGTTTTCTCTTGGTGGGACTTATATACTAGGTGCACCTTTATCCAAGCAGAATCAAAATTCTGATCATTTAATTGGTTAATACTAGTGGCTCCATTTTAAAAAAAACCTAAAGACAAATTTAGTAAAGACTTATCGACAGGAGTGATCTACAAAATCAGTTGTAAAGATTGTGACAAAGTTTGTATCGGTCAAACATCAAGAGCCTTAAGATCCAGGATTAGAGAACACAAGAGAGCGATTTTCAGGGGAGATAGAAATTTTTTATTAACCCACCATTGTATAAAATACAATCAAGATTTTGACCTTGAGGACATCAAGATCCTTGACCGCTGTTCCCAATGGTCGATAAGATTATTTTTAGAAGCGTGGCATTCAATTTGTGAACCGAATTCCATTAATGAACATATTTACATTCCTGACATTTACAAGGCCCTTGGCAATCCCAAGTGACGTTTCTGTGGCTCTTTTTAAAGCCCTCATTTGCTTTTGTAGCCATTTTATTGCTGAAGAAGGTTAAAGTATTTTAAATGAAATGTCCACAAACAAAGTTTTTAAGTCAGTGACAACAAAAAATTGTTATTTAGTATCATGCCTGACTACAAATACAGTATTTTTAAATACTAATGTTGTTAACTTCTTTTGTTGAAATAAACAAAAGTGAAAAATCACACCTTCCTTACCCTTGGCACCAATTAACAGTTATCATTTAGTTAAGAAAGTCATAAGTATAAACAATAGTAAATAATCACACATTTCTTAACTAAACAATAAAGTATACCTCAATAAACAATAAAGTATACCTCAGTATACCTGCTTAGGTGATCTTTTTTTTCCACATTGACGCTGTTGATTAGCGTCAATGTGGAAAAAAAGATCACCTAAGCAGGTATACTGAGGAAGGAAATATAGGTCAATTGACTACTCCCTAATTTGGTTTAATAAAACTTTGGGAGAACTAGCTTTTGGTCTGAGCAAAGTGACTTTTTTTTTAGCAATACAACTTTGAGATTGGAGGAAACAGTTCCAGGCAAAACACACTTTGCGTGAAACAACTGCAACTAATGCAAGCATCCACACTATAAATAGGCTAGGCTTAATATTCAAATAAGCAAAACTGGACAGAGCAAAATAGATATCCATTGAAGTGTACTACTGTGGTTAAAGACAATTTTTAGGATTTTTTTACTGGCATTGGGTAACTAACTGTATGCAATAGTTTGATTTTACCTCTGTCAATTTAAAATCCAATTTAGCTGGCTCATTATATCAAGTGTATCATATGCTGGCAAGCCAGACAAGCATACACAGATTGCATATTCCAATTCCATTTTGGTATGCACAGAACAGAAACTTACCAACAAGTTCCTTTTTACGGCAGGGTAATTCCACTGATGACAAGGAATGGCCATCACAGAAATCAAACAAACTTGTCTGTTGAAAATGGGTCAGTATTCGGAGTTGTATGTCATCCAGCAATTCCCCAGTTATTGCTCTGAATTCTAGGGCAATGTAGTACTCAGTAGGAATACTAGCTGGGAGGAGAAATTCAAAATTCCCTGCAAAATGGGGCAACTCATTCCCTCTACAGTCAATGGCCAATGTTTCTGCCAAATACATGGAACCAGCTGGTTTCACTTCTGCTTTAATCACACCAAGTCCTCCATTCTGCAAACAGAATACAAATTGAAGGAAGTTTGAGAGCTGAAGTATATATTTAAAGAGTCACTGGTGACCTCATTGATGAATATTGTTTGTTAATGAGTAAAGAGTTTGTCAAAACAAGTGGAGTACAGGAACACATACAGTACACAGGGCTAGGACATGCAATGTGCATATGAAATAATGAGCCAGTGCTGCTGAGAGTAATTACCATGAATATATTTTGAATTCATATTGTCAGGCTGCTCACATCAATACCTCAGCAGAACAATGACTGTTTTATTAATGAAATAATGACATCAAAATTAATAATGAGGAAAATCAATTCTATTAAAAAGGTTAAAGAACCTTCACTTTATGTAGAGGATCATTATTAACAAGTACCAGGTAAACTTTAAAGTTAAGAGAAATGCCTACAGAAAGGGAGGCCTACAATTTGTTCCAGAGGGCTAAAACTTTTATTAAATCTCCCAGCTTGTCTTAAAGATTGGAAGGAAATACAACAAATCGTGGGGTTGAAAACAGTGTCCAAGAGAACAAAGCAAGTTGCAGACCTGTAAAAAAATTACTCAGCTTGACAACTAGACATCAAGTTCTTTTGTTAGCCCTCTCTTAATATCTGTATCATATGGATAATAGTGTATTGTGTGTTTACATACTATTTTGAATTGTTGATTTCCAGCTGCGACCAGACGGCAGTCAAACAGCTCTTGCTTGTCATTGCTCAATGCCACCACCACATGGATTATGACAAATGGACCAGGAAAAGACTGTAATCCATTTGAAGGTGAAGAACAGAGCGAGTCTTCAGGCAAAACGCATCCAAGATTATTTATATGATGCCGACAAGTCTTCCAAATTTTCAACTTGCCTCTTACTATCAATGGGGCCCAACCTTCAGGGCCACAAGTTATGAGGGGCTGGGACCCTGGGAAAATAGAGAAATTGCTGTCAAAATATTCACTACTGTGACACAGTTGTTAAACACAATCTTACCTGGATAAAAAGTTTGATATTTAAAAAAATATCATTTTGTAGCTTTCAAGCTTGATATTTAACGTACATGTAACATACCAAGTCCACCAGCTAAAGTGTATAAGAAAACACTTGGCATTAGCTCGTATAAGTGTTTTGCATTTATAGGACAACAAAAAAGCTTACTTCATGCATAACTATTTCACTGATTAAACTAATTTATTCTTCTTCAAAAATAAGACAAAACAAAACAAGATGCCCAGGAGCATTCACAAGGGAAAAAGCCACATTTTCAACATGGTCTGCCTCATGGGAAGTTTTCAGCAACCATAAAACCGAAATGTTTTCCGTCCTTTCTTGCATTGGAATCCCAGTTGGAAACTCAGATGACGTAATTCGAAGCATTTCAAACAACATCGATTCCACTTTTCAGCAATGTACTGCTGTAAATGTGCATTGCATCAGACATACAAGTATTGTGATGAAGCTCTAACTCAAACCAAAGTTGATTGCTTTTCGTCGGATTAGTCACGCATTTACCATAAATTGTACTCTCTTCTTGAGACCAAAATAACTCAACCAGTTTTTGTTCCCTTATAAGTCACTTTGAGTACTGTTTTATTCTCGATTTCAGCTATGCCTCCTCTCAATTAATTCATGGCAAATCAGAACAAACTAAACTCAATCAAAAATAGATTTTACAGTGTAGCAGTCGTGGACTCTGTCTTCTTTTGTGTTTTGTTTACACAAAATAGCTATTAGTCCCATTCAGGTTTCGTATGCAACGTATTTTCATAATGATTGCGACTTGTTCAACTCTTTCAGTCTACAAAACGCTCCCCTTTAATGAATCGCTTGACATATGCACGCCTAAGACAAAGTTAAATATTAAAATATATTTACAGCGCGTTAAAAGATTTACTCGAAACACCGTTTGTTCCGTATTTATTCGGTTCTTTCTTACTCCACCACAGCTCCAATTCCTGATTACTAGAAAATTTATACTTTACCTGGAAGATTAGAGCCATGAAGAATCGACTGTAGTGTGTCTAAATTGCGTCAAAAGGCGAATGTCTCGAAGTATGCAACTGCAGCTGAACAACGTTGCGCAAAAACAAAAATAAACACTAGGACTCGACCGATTTATGAGAACGAAAGTGAAAGTGAAAGTGAGGACTGAGATTTCTCGACAAAAAAATAAAAGATTCAGCTCTTCTCTTTCGTGTAACCAGAAAGATTACGAAATCAATCACATCTCATCCTCCTACCTTTACGGCTTTGCTCCTGCTGCATTGGGATCAGATGTTGACCGCCATGAATAACTATAGTACGCTCCGCGCCACACACTATAACTATTGTCAAGGTTCAAAGTTTCCTTTTTTGTAATCACGTGATTTACTGTACAAATGACGTAAAGGAGAGTTCACAGTTCAGTCAAGTAACTCCCAAATTACCTCCGCAAATAAGCAAATTCCCCGCAAATTATCTTCGTCCGATCAATAATTTTAGATTACCGATGAAATCCAAAAGCTCCTTGAGTCTAAATCATCCTTATTTCCAGTGCAAAGTTTAGGCGTTAGGAAAGTATTTCAGTGGGTTATAATCAAGCAAAAAGACTCGTCGACGACTTCCAGTTCTCCTTAACTCAACAAGAAAACAAGAAGGCAACTCAACCCTTGTGACTGTCCGCCATTACTCTGAATTGGTTTTATCCCGAGGTCCTGGGTTTGAATAAAATGACCAATCAGACGGTAATACAGCTCTTTGATTTTGACCAATAAGTGTACAGTGAAAAGATAACAAGTAACCAATTGGAAGCAAGAATCAAAACGGAAGCCATGTTTGAATTTGAAAACTTGCAACAAAATGGCGACGAATAGTGAGTCTGACTCTGTGCCGCATTTTTCTGACATGGATTCCCCCGGAAGCTCTGTTTCTTCTTCTTTGCAAAGAGAATACGAAGAACTTCTCAAGTACGCCGTTGTTACCCCAAAAATTCAAGTTGTTCCTAGTGTGTACGAGCCACGTATTCCTACTAAGGATGATGCTAGCGCTGCCTCCATCGAAACAAGCACAAGTAGCTCTTCAACTTCGAACACTGCGTCGACTCAAAGTTCGCAGACAACAACTGAGGAAACACGTTTAGTCGAGAAAGAGGAAGTGAAGAAGCTTCCGGGAACTCCTCTCAAAGTATCCTTTCTAGGACAGGGATCAATAGCACGAGATTCTTTGCTTCGATCTGGTAACGTAACTACAGCTGTACTGTAAAGGTTGTAGCGAAAACGAAGACCCCCGAAAACGAAGACCGAAGACCTAAGACCCGAAAACGTAGGCCCCCTAAAATCCCCCCTATCCTTTTTTTAGGCCTAAGACCCGAAAACGCAGAATCTTTTCCCTCCCCTTTTTTTAGTGTTTTGCAGCAACCCTAGTTCTTTTAAGAGAAGTTATTTAATCAATTAAAGAACAACCAAGAGAGAATATGCACCACTGAGGTGTCCAGGCTGTGAGCTTTGGTTTGCAATCAAAGGGTGCTGAGAAGTGAATGTTAAGTTACAATTGGACTATTCTGACGTGCCTTGAAGAAATGAATTTTGTTTTCTTCCTTTTTTTAATACAAGCGCATTTGCTGAAATAAAATAATTAAAGCTTTCCTTCAAAGGGAGGCAAAAATATCATTTCAGCTGAACTTAAGTTCACTACAACTAAACGAAGAAGAAAATTGGCTTTTGGCAACTTTCATGTATGATCTGTTACGCATCACACAGAATGCAGGGTAAGAAAGAGTAAAAGGTGTTCAAAACCTTAACCCTTTTGTTTTGCTGTCTAAAAATATAATTGAGTAAAAGGTGTTGACAGGCAATTGCCGCCAATTCCCTACCTCACGGCGGTGTGATACGTGACCTTACTAATGGTTGACAGGTCACAGCCTCATACTAGTGTGAAATTAGGGCAGACATCTTCATAACCCAAACGTTTTTCACTTTTTTTGTCAATCGTCGAGTAGATTTATCTCCAAGTGTAATTAAATCTCGAAATTCTGTCATCATTTGACCTGTTATTCAGTGGACAAAAAGTATTACGTTAATGCACACACGTTCCCTTATGTTGTTTTTGTTTTTGTTTTTTTGCCTTTTTCTAAAATCTTCGTTTGCTTCATTAGAGGGATTGTTCAGTAGGTCATTTTAGATCATTCCTTGTTTTCATAAAAATGACGTCAGAATAGTCAAAGTTGTAATTTTACATTTACTTCTCAGTACCCTTATCGCGAAATTCACTTTTCTCAAGGCACGTCAGAATAGTCCAAATTGTAACTTAACATTCCCTTCTCAGCACCCTTGTCGTGATTGCAAACCAAAGCTCACAGCCTGGACACCTCAGTTTATTGAGAAGAACATCCTTTTTTAATAAGCAGATAATTTGACACCCATAGTGTCGTTTATAAAAGATTAAAAATTCGGGTTGTTTAACTCCTACCGTGTAACCAAAATTTAAAATTTGCTTCATATTTTCGAACATTTAATCTGTAAGGCATTCTGAAGAAATAAATCAGTTCCATATATTGACCATGTACCATAGTGGTGCATATTTTCTCTTGGTTCTTCTTTAATTGATTGTTTAAAACCATCATTTTAAATAACTTCTCTTAAACGAACTAGGGTTGCTGCAAAACATTAAAAAAGGGGAGGGAAAAGATTCAGGTCTTCATTTTAGGGTCTGCCTTTTTGGGTCTTAGGTCTTCGTTTTCAGGGGTCTTCGTTTTCGTTACAACCGTACTATAAATGTGTATCTGTTACAAACTTATTGGAAACTTTGTAAGATGCTTCAGGGGAACATGGACACTGAACTCTATCTTTAAATCATTATGCTATCTGGAGTTATCTTCTCATAGAATGAAAAAGTGGAAATTAAATTAAATTTGTTGGTACGACAATGTATTTGTATATGTATACAGATTTAGAGCTTTACTTTAGTTATCTGGTTCTGCATGAAGTGAAAAAAAGTTATTTTCAACGAACACGTAAAAATCCTGCTATTTTTCTGTTTTCAGCGTTGAAGAGACTTGATTCACTGCACTAAGCAATCGATATTTTGAAAGTGATCACAGTGAAACTCGGCAAACTTTAGTGTACATGCAAATTTCTCTTACGTGTACTTTCGAAGTACACGACAGCATGGCCTTTCTGAAAAGCAACTGTTAACTACCTCTTGACTGAAGGGAGACCTGTTAACCCTTTCAGCATAGCCCTGAATCTCAACCATTCCATACTTTTCTATTTTGCCGCTAAAAGTCTACAACTTCTGTATTAGTGAAAAACATCCGGAAAGAGTAGAACATGTGGTGTACATAAGGTTTTAACCATTGTTATGGATTAGACTGTTTTGATTTTAGACTGGATTATATGTTTTGATGTAAAATTTACTTTTACCTTAACCTCTGACTGTCAAATAATTACGTTGCTAACTGTAAAATTATTTCTAAACATTATCTACTTGTACTTGTAACAATTGACTCTATATACTGACCAATGTTTGTCAGAAACCGATGCTGATTCACCAGTGGTAGCAGAAGCTGAACATGGATCATCATCATCTCATACTACTGAAGAGTTGCCAGACTCTCCAGTGCCAGCTTCACCTGTAATAGATGCTGACTTGGCCAGAATGGAGGCCTTATTGGACAACTGGTGTTTGGATCTCAAGAGAAATGTTTTGGTTAGTGACCAACACATCTTTACCAATTTATGAATATTTATACAGGGTAGCCCAGTTCAGCTAATAGCTGGATTAAATCAGGGGCCCTGTCTCACCCACCCATCCCACCCCAAGGGAGGATATCCACCACACAGTAATCTTGTGCGTGGGAAATTAAGGTCTCCTACCCCTAGCCCTGCAGGGGACTGGGGCCTACAGTTTATTTGTCCTTATTCGAGAAGACTAGAATATCTATCCATTTCTTGATATATAGAAAGGTAGCAAATTCTCCTCCTGAAGTTATTTTAAGACCATGAGTATTGGTCTGGCCGGGGCTTGAACCCTTGACCTCCCGCACAACACAATCTGGCACTCTAACCAATTGAGCTAACTGGGGGGCCATTTGTCAATTGTCAGTTTTCAAATATTCAAGTGAAGATATTTCTTAAAAAGGCAACTTTATAGATTGACCAAACGAGAAAGTAACATTTGTGGTAAGAGAGACAAAATCAAAATTTTCTCATCTTAGTGTGGTCTTTAGCTGTAAGTCAGAATGTATTTTCACATATGTTCATTAACCATGTTAAAGTTTTTTTTTTTCTTTTGTAAACAGGCTGAATTTGCACAGTGTAAAATGGGATTATTTGAAAAACAGAAACAGCTTATGATGCAAGAGAAAAGGAGGTACAGTTTTAAATAAGTATAGCACATTAAAAAATATATCAGGTGTTTTGTTGTTCACTTTGCACAAATCAGAGTTGTTACAGCATGCGCATGTGATGCATACTCTCCAATTACATAGGCATGACATGTACACTGTCCAATTGCACTGTCCAAATACATTACATGTCCAATAAGTGCTCAAGGTGGGCTTGTGATAACTAATCATGTTTGAGAATTTTATTCTATGTTTGATTCCAGATAGAAAGAATAAAGTCTTACATGTGTACAGTAGTTGATTCGCAATTTTCAATTTTTCCTTTAATATCTTTAACAATTACATCGTAAGATTGTAAGACAAGTAAAACTGACAATTAGCCATGGAGAATTTTTTGTACAAGATTGAAATTTGAATTGCTTCTTGTATGATGTGGGTTACAATTTTCATTTTAACAATTATTTTCCTGAGCCTAACTGTTTTTAACTGTAAGTGCTTGGTTAAATGTTAGTCTAGTTCATCCTTTTGGGTTATTAAGAGCTGCTAGTTACTTGGGGGTTACTTTGCAACTTTGCAACTTCCAAGGCTAGTTTAAATTTTTTTACAGTTTTCATTTAGCATGTTATGCACAATTACTTCATATGCACATGGACACACTTGTTTCTATTGTAAGACCTTTGAGCCACTGAACAGGTATAAATGCAGACATATCAGAACTTCAATTATCTTATGGTAAGAAATTTCCTAATCAAGTATATACAAAAAAAAATAATAATAAGGTGACTATACACAACATCAAGTGCTGAATTTGCATTGCAATCATTGTGTATTTGCAGTGCTTTAATTGGTATTCTGAGTCAGGAAAATAGAATCCTCTTTTGGTACATAGAAAATATTTAGAGAATAGAATTTGAAGCTTTGATGCCTTATGGTCACAAACATTGCTACTGTCATTGAAAAGTATAAAATCTCTATACTTCCCATTCTGTTAAATCTTCTTCAAAGTTTTGGTTAACACAATAGAAAGAAGAAGTAGATTGATCCTTACGGGCAGGCATTACATTAAACACATGACGCCGGTAATGTGACCTCTGAACACCTGGATGTTTGATGTAGTCTTCTTGGAGCTTAGGACATTTGCCTGACGGACAGGCGGGACCACAGTGAAACTTGACATGTGGAAAGTGCCTCTTACAGATATCTTCAATCATAGTGTACACCTGACTCAGTGCAACTGATGGCTTGATTTCTTGATCTTCTCTGTGATATAGAGAAAGAGCTATGTTTAAGATGGGGGACTATTTTAAAGTATGTTAAAATGTATGGTAGAGCGTGTTCGGTAGTGATGATACGGTTTATTTGTTCAGCTATCAGCAAAATTTTGAAAAGAAAAAAAATAGGATAGAAGGATTTAAGTGCTCCCCAAAATGCTTATACAGTGCAGCTCAAACATACATGTGCATTGTCCTTGTATTTCCTGATGGTCTTTGTTGATGAAAAAAAAAAAAAAAACATCAATTTTCATGCAGACTGCTAAAACCAACTGTGCGTTTCCTTATGTTTGTGAACAAGTTCCATTTAATTTAGAAAGTCCTCCCTTGAGCCCTTATTTTTCAACAAACATTATGTACAATAAATTTCAGATATAACATGCTGTCATAGGTTGAGAGCAAAGTGCAGGCTTGATTAAAGCCTACACTTTGCTTTGTATCTGAGGGAGACATACATCATCCCCTTAGGATGCTCTTATCTCTCTTGTCAGCTTCTGAAGACTATTAACTGTTGATGGCTACAATTAAATGTGCAAATCAATGTTAAACGTAACTTATATTTCAATTCCTAACCTGTAAGTAAATGTCACCTCAATCATGTGGAATTCCTTCAGATGTGAGAGCCTGTAGGCTGTACATGGCCGCCACCAAAATCTGCCAACATTTTTACAAATTAGGGGTTCCCCCTCAGGAAATTCTACTTTACTGCTCCTGTGTGCACGTGACAATAGGTGTTGGAAAAGGGCTTGTGGGAGAAATCGTTTGAAGACTGCATAAAAAACTTTGTCTTTTGGAGAATCCTGCCACACAGGTGTGTTTACATCTGATAATGGTAACAGTGAAGGGACAAAATGTGTGACTGTTTCAGCCATGTTGTTGTTTTCCCTGTTGTGAAATAATGGGCAAATGATGTCATATTCTTCAAGGAAACTCTTCATTACCACTTCATTTTCTTTGCATCTGGAAAGAACATGCTTTAGGAGAGGTTCAGTGAGCATTCCTGTATCATGAAGTAATTTGGAATCCTGCCTGAAGCCTCGCTGCTCTGTTCCTGCCTCCTTTTTCAGTGGTGTCACCAACTGACTAATAATGTTAGTTAGTATCTGTGGTTTCAATAAAACCCATTCTGACAATTCAGCATGGTCAATGTAGACAACAAGACCTTTCTCATGAAAGTACTTTAAAGTTTCTTTGGACCAGTTGCTGCAAAAAAAGTTGCACACTGTAGCCACTACCTTTGGAAATTGTGCTAATTTTATGCAGAATTCTGCATTCTTGCTTTGTCTTAGGTTAATGATTGCATCTTGAATTTTTATCCACGAAAATGGAATTTTACGGCCAATAGTCATCTTACATTTCTCTGCCTCGGCAATTATTTGTCTTTGAAGATTTTGAATCCCAGTATCATTGTTTCCAGAAGTGTTTTCCACAGGGTAATACAAAAGATCTTCTTCCTTATTCAGCACTAACTCGTCACTAAAGGAATTCCACAGATTCTTCCTCAGATGTTTATTAATCTTCTTGAAGCAAGATTTTTCCATATTGCCACGGTGTGTTCCAACAAGGAAGATCGGTGTCTTTGCTGAGGCCTTGCTACAGATGGACTCCAACCAGAATTGAAGTCTTTTGACTTTTGCTGCCATGTTTCCAAAATGGTCATTTGCAAAGTTTGCCATGTTGAAGACCACAAGGTAGATGGCATTGTCTCTCATAAAGATATGATGATAAGCATAATACTCTTCATCTCCAGAGAAGTCAAGAACTCTCAGTTTAAGACTTGAAAACATGGATTGAAGAGCTTTTCTCAATTTTTTAAAGTTCAATACTACCTTTTCAAAAATGACAAAAGTAAAACTAGCGTACTTGACCCGTGAATCTTCATTACCACTGAAAAGGAAAAAGATAGTATTCCAGTCGTTGTATAAAATGTAACAGGCAATTCCCACGAAAATTGTCAAGTAAGTTCCCACAGAACAAAAGTGAGTACATTGAGCATAAATGTTACCAGTTATTATGTAAAAGATTATTATCGAAGTGATGCTTTCTAATTTTACTTTGAGAATCAGTGCGAGAGCAACTCTTAAAATCACCAGACAAGCTGTAGGAATTAGAGTAGAATGAAGAACTTGACAGTAGTGAAGGGTTGTCGTGTTGGCCAATGCATGTAACTGTAACCAACTAATAGCTCCTATTGCTAAACCACTCATCACGGGAATTATTAGCAAGAGCAGCGCTGCAAGCTGAGGTGCTGTGTTGAATTTCGTCTGACCCGGAAGCGGTGACTTGTCCGCTATGCGCGCAGTATGGCTCTCAAAATACTTCATTATGAGGCACGACAAATAATTCGAAATACGGAAGATCATTACGGCAACAATGGTAAGATGGAGTGCCCAAATAAATTGGTTGGCACTAAATGGGCTTGTGACAAAAACTGGGGAAGAGTCTAATTCTTGGCAATCGATTCCTCCGATAATTCCAGCTAGTAAATACATAGTTATTATTCCTATGAGAGCTCGAGGAAGGTTGGATAGTGACAGAGCAAATGTAAGAGCTTCAGGGCGCTCAGATAGGAAAACTTGCAGAGCACAGTCCATTGAAATTATAGCGGCTGAAAATACACAATAACTGAAAGACATAGCGCTGAAAGCTAGTAGCCACACAATGGAAATCATCCAAACTAACCGCGACAACGACAACAGCGAAGGAAATGTTGTCGCCACTGTTTTATCTATGATCATATGGACTCCAGCAGGACCAAACATGACAGTCTTGTAGACAACTGATTTCCAGAATCTTTCAAAGTTTCCAAATTTGAGGCCATTGTCGGCATGAAGCGGTCTCCACTTCCGGTCAACTAAAGCCATCTCTACCCCTGTAGTTCCTGGCTCATCTGCATCAAACGGCACTCCTGTGAGAGATTTCTTCAAACTTGTTTTGCCAACTCTGGCATCGCCCAGTATCAGACACTGTCCTTGGAAAACTTCTAGTTTGTTCCACTCTCCGCCATCTTGTTCGCTGCGGAAGTCAAGCTTTTTAAGTACTTGAAGATAGGAATCTCGTCCATTCGGTAATCGTCTATCAAACTCCAACTGGGACATCACTTCAGAAGCAGTTTCCAGTGTATGGTCGTCTGTGAGACGTATTCCTTGAATATCGCAAGCCATAACTACGTTTTTCATCGTGGCACTTCGCGAGAACGGTTTGATGATGGGAATTTCCCGGAAACTCATTACGTGTTTACGTCAGTTAGGTTTAACAATACACTACAAATAAAGAAGGAGTGATAATTTCTCGGAATTCGAGATGTTTATCTTTAACAGTCCACAGAAGTATTTGAATAGAGCTTTAGTGATTGTTCATTAACGTTAATTGAGAGCTTTCTTACATTACAGACATGGTGCTGACATGAACAAACTTATGAATGAGATGGAGAGTCAAAAAGAATTGCTATTGACTTATGAACAGACCCTGACCCACAAAGACTCCATCGTGACCAATATCACTAATGCTATTCACAAACAGGTTTGTTGAACGCCAACAACCATGAATGACCTCTTGTAATTGAGTTTGATATCAAACTAAAATGCTGTTTATATAATTATGTCCAAATATCAATGACCTTATGTGTGATTTCACAGAAAGAAAGAAATGAATTGATGAAGGCGTTCACTTTATGGAAGATTAGACATTGTGACGAAAAGAGAGAGGTCAGTCTCATTACAATGTGTTAACTTTTTAATTATTCCAACCAACCTGAAGGGGAAGTGTTCAGGTTTTGGTGCTGAAACAGAAAATTCAGTAGAAAGAAGCGGGTGGATGGGTACCTCTATCACGCCTTCATTTTTGGTAGATCTTTCAAAACTTGTTATTCTTCAAGATATAATATAATCAACGTTCAAGGGAAGAACGTTTTTGCTTACAATTCTGCAAAATCTTCCTACTGCATCGCTCGTACTTTGAAGTTTTCTAGACAACATTGTGACGCAGGTTTTTCGAAAGGCGGAAGACGATATTTATCGGATGATTGTTAACAACACATACTTCGATCTCTAGTTCTAACGTAAGAAGAACCCATGGCATCTGACCATTTTGTTCTCAGGGTTTTTCGTCTAAACTTGCCAGAAGACACTACAAACATGCTTTAAAGTCACGTGCCTGGAGTGCATGGAGGTCTGTTATTGAATCAAAGTGGAAACAACGGGTTGAGAAAGCCTGTCAGGTTTGTTTCAAATCATAGAAGCCAGTCGTTATGGTTTTGATTGTTATGCATGATAAGAAACCAAATAATGAAATTCAGCCAGTTTTAAGAAATTTTAGAATCCATCGTATTCTGTCATTTCACTCACGTATTATTCCTTTTTTCAGGCGAAAGCTCAAGACGTGTGTGTGAAGTTGACAGAGGATTATGAGAGTCGTCTAGCAACAGTGAGCACTTACGATAATCGTTTCTTTGTACTCTGTATGTTCACCTCGTATTTCTTTAAACGAAGAAAAGATGGCTAAAGGTTACTAGTATATACTAAAACAGTGATAGCGTTGAAGGCGCGCTCTGATTGTGTACTCAAACTCCGAATATCCTTTGCTTCAGACAACGTGCGCGTGATTTACGCCCGGCAATTTTGTAATTCTTTCAGGTATATGTGGGTTAAAAGTTTTTGTGCTATACTACGTCGCTGTCAGACATGATATATGAAAGTTCGCTGTTCTAGTATAAACCAAAACAACCATCCGCGCTTTTCTGATTAAATTTAATTTTCGCAGCCATTTATTTCTCATGTGTTATTGTTATATATGCATAACATTCTGTAATATGCTTGATTAACTTTGATATACATACTAAGGCCCTGTTTACAAGCAAGGAGGGTAACCCTTGTGCTAGGGTTACCCTAGCAGGCGGGTCAAAGATAGCCCGGGTTTACAAGCAAAATTTCACAGGTAGGATTACCCTACCACCCCGGACAACTTACCTATACTTGGTAACCTCACACATTGTTATCAATGTTCAAAGGGTCTGAAAACAAGTAAAAAGTTGTCCCGGGTAGGCGAGTTATCCCCAGCAGAGCATTTACAAGGCAGCTAGGGTTACCCTGGTGCTAGGGTAACCCTAGCGCTCAGCTAAGGTTACCCTAGTGCTAGGGTAACCCTAGCTGCCTTGTAAACACGTCGATGAAAAAAAGAAGAAATGTGGGAGCGTTAGGGTAACCCTAGCACTAGGGTTACACTACCTGCTTGTAAACAGGGCCTAAGTTCCAATATTATTGTAAGGATCTTTTTTTTTTAAACCTACCACCTTGCACTAAGATTGATAAAAAAGTTATAAGAGTATGATAACAAGGTTACGAATAAATAATGCGCATTTGTGTTAATAACTGTTTACATGTTGCTGTGTATTGTTCGCCTTTACTAGGCTACTCGTGAGCTGGAAATAGCGCGGAATGAGATCGCTCATCTTCATGCCGAGAGGGAACGGTATGAAGAAACTATGAAAAAAGCTTTTATGCGCGGAGTGTGTGCATTGAATCTGGAAGCCATGACCATGTTTAGAGAAGGTGAAGAGGGCGGAAGACGACCCCCACCTGCTGCTGAAGGAATCAACAGCAGCGGTAAGAGAAGGAATTAACAGTTGATGTGTTCATTGCTATTATAGTGCTGTTGCAATCCGTATACAAACGTAAGCGGTTCGAGATAGCTGAAATTTCTGCTGGAAACTGCCCTTTGCTTTTTTCTGTTCAAGAGGCTGAACAGTAGCTAAGAAGTCTTCACGATCTTCAATGAACTGTGATTCTGAATAGTGCTACAAACGATTAATTCATTAATCATTATGACCACGATGAAAAGACTCGTCTTTCACATCAAACTTGATGCACATTTTACTCATGAAGCCGTTCTCAAATGTTATCTGGAGTTTTCATTTACAGTCCGTGCTATTAAATTGCGCCTATCCTGTTTCGTCCCTAGATGAAGACATGCCGCGTCATCAACCACCGATTCCAACTGTAACGACATCTGGTCCAGCTGTAACGCAACATCAATTTAGTCACGGTCTGTCCAGACATAGAACTTCAGCTGAGAAGCCTGGCCAGATAGGAAAAACTGTCACTGTTAAAGCTGTTTGCAGATCAGACATTCAGGGACCAAAGGGTGGTGCAGGTAAATTCAAATTTGCACCCTAACCTTAAGTCGCTTCTAACGGTTCACGTGACATAATGAAGGACAGTTTCAATTGTTGCCAAAGTGCATGTCCAAGAGGCGTAATTGCAATTGCACTGAACCCATTTCTGTCCTTTCCTTGAAAACCCACGTATCTAAGTTGTCAATTTGGTTTTTGCTTGTTTCCCTGGACTACAGAAGGGTGGGGNAACTTTATGCATTCCATTAAAAGTAATCTAATAATAATAATTTAATATTTATATTGCGCAAATTAACATGTGGATATGATCAAATGCGCATCAAAACACTTTTCGGGGGACTTTGGCCGGACTGCATTAGCAGTTTACAAACAATCGGAGGAAACTTATTTGAAGATGCCCCCTCCCCCACCAATTCCTAGTAAACAGGCCCGACCACATCACAGTAATCTCGTGAGTGGGTTCTTTAACATCCCTTGCCTAACCAAATTAACTAATTAATAGATGCAGGAGACGGGACCCACGGTTTATTCGTCCTTATCCGAGAAGACTAGAATGTCTATCCATTTCTTGATCTAGAAAGGTAGCGCATTCTCCTCACTTATTTTTAAGACCTTGAGTGTTGGTCCGGCCGGGGCTCAAACCATCGACCTCGACCTCCCGCACAACAGTCCAGCGCTTTAACCAATTGAGCTAACCAGGAGGCGGATGTGACGCAGATCTTTATGGAGATGAGTAAAATTCTGCAATGATGGGTTTATGAGGGAAAAAGAATAGTCATTCCTGCCGGTAAAAACGCCGAGAATAATTCAACATATCAAATTCAAGTGAGCTAATTTCAACAATAGTCACTTCAATTTGTCTTAATTAGTTTTTTTCTTTTTTTTTGCAGTCTTCATTACATAGATTTAGTTTAAACCATATAAGTGGTATTTTTAACGCCACTGGCAGTCCCCGAGTTTCTTTTTAATGCTTCAATTTGGAGTCAAAGCCGTTAACTGACCGCCACTCTGCCTCAATCTTGTCACGGTTTTCTCCGCATTGGCTGAATTTTACACAGCGAAGCGTAAAATTGCATCTGGGCCAAGGTAATAACACGTACAGTGCGTGATCATCGTTCAAACCTTTACAAATCCATACCGTTGCACAGTAAGCTAACAAATGTAGTCTTGCTGTAAGATAATTGCACGAAAAAGCAGTTTTTGATGAAATCAAGTCATTTCTGCTCCTGGAGGTAAAGGTGCGAGAAAATTTGCGACATATCCAACAAATAACGTAATTTTAGCGCGCTCTGATCATTACCTCATACAAAGCAACCAATCGGTAAAGCGTACCTGCTAAAATACGGGCTGGTACCATGAATATTGGATATCGTGTTTATTTTAGGTTTCGGAGGACCAATCGGAGCGTACAGTGTGATATCGCTGGTATTTGGAGAGAAAGGAAAATTTCATGTCCGAAACTTGAATGTAGAGCGAGGGAAATTTGGGAGAAAGATTTTCCCAAAGTATTATGAGGACCGTATCATTGGTTTTGATCTTCGGATTGTCTGCAGTGGGGTTTTCACGTCCTTCCGAAAGTAAGTAAACCTTATTCCTACCGTAGTTGAGTACGATCACTGTACCGAGCAGATTGATCTATCTTACAACCTGGGACACCTAAGTGTCTAATGTGGAAGATCCCATGGGGGTCCAAGCCTCTTCTCTCTGACTGAGAAGTACCTTTCATAAAACCAAGAACTAGTTAAGCTAAGCCACGAAAGAAGTTTTAATTTTCCATGGTGCCAAGATCGTGGATAGTGATATGCTTTAACAAGTTATGTTTAAGAAATGTTGACACTCCACAGTAACAGCCACCCGTCAACTCTTTCCCTGCTTAAGCCTTCTCTGGAATAAAGTTTATTTCATAAAGCTATTCTCCAACTTTTACGAATGCGTTTGAAACTTTATTCTTTTATCGTCCTAACAACTGAGCTTTTAACTCTCCAGTGGATCTCTAAACCAACTGTTAGAATTGTTATTTTGACGACATCGCTTTGCTCATTGAAAAATGCCATTTCTTGCTAATTGAAAACTTTTAAAAATGCGCGGATCGCTAAAAAGCTTGTCTCCTTTTTGTTTTAATCACTTCGTGTCTAGACCAGCATTTGCAGATGTTAAGTCGGCCAGATTTTGATCTTTTGTTTTCTTTGGTTTTTAGACGATAACTTGTCACTAACTTTGAACGTGAGATCATTCAAGCAACACAAAACACAATCAACCGAGTCACAGAGTCTTGCATGGTTTATACCTTCTGTGATTTTTAGTAACGCAAGAGCAATATTTTCATTCATCCATGAAATTTCTGAGTTAAATGTTTCATTGGAAACTGAAACTTTACACGTTATGTCTCTTTGATATACGCTAATAATGATCTTCTGAGGAGTTGACCACACCTTAAAAATTTTATGTTTAGAAAAAAAGTTTTACCACCTTACTAATTCAAAGCAGAATGCAAAATTTTAAATTCAAATCTAGGGTTTCGCGTCTGTAAAAAACATTTTGTTTGATGGAATTCTACCCTGAGTTTTATCAAGTGTTTTAATGGCTAGATTTTTGAAAGGAAATTGTAACCTTTCTGTGGCCTTTTGGCAGAGTATGGGAAACGTACTTTTATCATAATATCATATCTGGTAACGACAAACGTATATGAGAAAAATTAATGTTGGCTTTGACCAATCTCAGAACGCATTCAACCACAAAAATAAATAACTTCCTTCAAGATTCGAAGTTTGTCTCAAAACTCTTAATGAATTACTCTCAGTTTGCAGGGTTATTTATATCGAACTACAAACTATAAAATTCATGTTTTACGGGCCCCTAAAGGCTGGTTTTCACTTGCGACGGAGTCGTAGTCGGAGTCGTAATCAGAAGCGTGGAGCGATACGATCTAGTGAAAATCAAACCAACGGAGTCGGAAGTAGAACACCGATTCTGCCTATGACTCCGTCGCTTACGATCTTGTGAAAAYTGCATTGTCAGAGTCGGAAGCGGAAGCGGAAGAATAAACCAATCACAATGCTCGATTCCATCTTTCCAAAATACACAAATAGCCATAACAAATTTAAACGTGTGAGCTTGACTGTAAAATTACGAAATTAAAAGTTAAAATACTCGAAACCTACCGAAAGTACAATTCACGAACACCAAGACGTAGTTCGCTGACGAGGTTAGCATACTCTTCCTAAGCTGCTCGACGTCGATAGATATCACGAGCCCAAAATTTCTCTCTTTTTTGAACGATATTATTCCTGTATTGTCTCTGCCTGCGCAAAATAATGATTAATAGGAGCCAAAGTTGCTCTTCGTCCGCCCTGTTGTCTTTGGCGCCAAAATTTGTACTTTAGCGGGCCTGGAATAAAGCATTGTGATTGGTTTATTCTACCGCTTCTCCTTCCGACTCTGACAATGCAGTTTTCACTAGATCGTAAGCGACGAAGTCATAAGCGGAATCGGAAGAAAGTGGAAACGTTCTTATTCTTCCGACTCCGATTCCGTCGGGCTTATGACTCCGCTTACGACTCCGTTTTTCAAATTTCACTGCGTGGGTCATAAGCGCTCTTACGACTCCGACTACGACTCCGTCGCTAATGAAAACCAGCCTTAAGGAAACATAAATGATCGGCAAATATTAGGTTTCTTATCAACCTCAGGAAGAAAGAAACAAGAGCAAACCTGAAAAATAAATAAATAAATAAATGTATGTACATCTTTAAAACTCAAAGTTCGTTTTCACCGTATCTCTTGTGAGACGGAAGTGAATGAATGATCTGAAGCCCTTATGTTGTGTTATTTGTTTGTGTAGAAAAATTCAAAGCTGCAGAAATAGTGGATGAGTCGGATAGAGAACTTATCCGAGTTGCTAGAGGAGATGTAGAGGATGAAGAACCTAAAGAGAAAGCTCACCACGAAAAGAAAAGATCCACTGAGGGTAAGCTCACCTAAACAACACTGCCATGGGCCGGTTTACGAAAGGTAACTGTTTTTTTTTTATTCGATCAGAGATCAAACGGAATAAAAGAGCTGCAGAGGAAGGTAAGTTTGACTTTGTGTCTTCGTTGATTTTAGGTATTCAATAGGTGGTATAAAAAAATAAGTTGGTTTTATCGACTGAGTTGATAAAGTAAATTGGCATCGGTAAAGAGTTTAAAAGCAGAAGTTTCGAGCGCTAGCCCTTCCTTAGAGCGAATGACGAAGGGCTAACGCTTGGAACGTCAGCTTTTAAACTCTCTACAGCCGCCAATTTACATTATACAACTCAGTAGATAAAACCAAATCATCCATCAAACTAAGCCTGGTTTATTGCAATGATGAGTGCATAGACAGGGGAACAGCTTGGCCGTTATTGTCTTGGCACACATGTATATTATTGATCAGAAATAAAGTGTGTGCAAGTGATTTCCATTATTATCGAAATGCGACTGCCCCGCCTGACTAGATATTTCAATGTTCTAGGAGGGTAAACTTATAAATTGTATCAAAACTCTGAAAGATTCATAAAGAAAGAGGTGGATGGCTTAGGCCTATAAAGCGACGAAACTGAACAACAGACTTCAATTAAACGAGTCGCATCTATAACATTCAAAGATGTCGAGTTCTTGTCGCCACCAACGAGTGTAGATCAGAGTAACACCAGCTGAGTGTAGAGGTGATCATCCAGTTCCACATTGACGAAACCGGAAAAAATGGAGGATTCCTTGGAAAGAAAACAAAAACTTTTAATCAGGGGGTTTAATCCAGTGAGTTACCCTATTGCTTTTCAAGCTATATCGTTTAAATCATATCCTGCTACATTTTCCCAACAGACGCTTTCTTTCAAGCTCTTTTGACGCGAGCAGCAGACAAGAAAACAGGTTTGAATAACTGGATTTTCTACATCTCCCTTTAAAAGCCCTCAGTATTTGCACGTGACCAGTGAAATCTTATCATTCTCTGTCTTCCCTTTTTAGAAAAGAAGAGGTCTTTTGATGATGGTGCCGACAACACAGGTACAAACTTTCAACCATTATATTTTAGCTAATGGTTTCTTTTCGTTTAAAATATTTCTCAAAATGGATTCAAGAAAATTAAGATTGGGAAAATTTTTCTAGACTGAATTGTGAAAAGTTTCGACAAGGGCGCACGCGCAGACTTAGCTGAGGCAAAGACGTTTTGAGACGCGGACGGAGACCAGAAAATGCAACTAATTCTGGTGCACATTGACATCAAGTTATATAATTGAAAGTCCCTTTTTTTAGACATGTATCTTGCTTGAGGGAAAACAACTCTCAACTTCTGGCTGCTGTTCGTGTCTCAGAAACGTGTTTGCTTAAGTTCCCTTTTGAGTCCAGAACAGAAGTCGTAGTCTTGAATTAATGGATACCTTACTTACGTCGCTTACGTTTGCTAGATGTCATACAAATATTGCAAAGCACGGCTTATTGATGTGATAAAAGAAATAGTTTTGATACGTAGGATAATTCTGATCCTCTAATCGTTAATTCATTATATTTATTGGGGTGTTGTTGCTGTTGTTCCGTTAGGATATATAATCCGAGACGATTGGAAGGGAGACTCAAAAATTTCAGATGCTGACAGGCAGGGTAAGATCTCGTGATTAACCCAAGGAACAGAGGGGAAAAAGAAGAGTAACAGTGCTTTTATAAATTTTCAGAGCTTGAGAGTCTTTTTAATGCCATCAACTCACCTGACGATGAAGGAGAGGAAAAAGTAGAAGAGACAAGAAGTATAAAGCCGGTGAGAAATTTGGTTTAGATTTCGAACATTTATGGTATCTACATAACCTTCTGCAGAAGCCGGGAAAGCTCATTTTTTCTGTATCTTGCATTCTTTAGGTTTTTCTTCTGTTTACTTCTTTTTTATTGTTTTCAACTTATTTTTTTTTTTACAATATTTTACTTATATTTTAGGGCTTAGAAGGAAAAATTCAACAATTTATTGAATGGCTTATGAGTCAGCCGGTGAGTGTAAATGACATGCTGTAAATTGAACCTCAAATGGCATTGTTATTTGTTTATTCTGATTAGACCAAACCCATGCATTCTGATTTTTTCAGCCGGACAAGTTTACTAAGTCCTTATCGCACATTCTTGAAGTAGAGCAGTCTTTGACGAAGATGTTTTATGACGGTAGGTTGCAATGATCCTCAAACTGTGACCAAGTTTCCTTTCGGGGATGGTTTGCGTAAAGGTTCAGGCAAAATATTGTGTGCATTGAGCCCCACGCTGCAGGAAGTGGCCATGGTCTGTGGGGATTCTTTTCTTGTTTACTTTCTCGCCCTCTCACTTCGCCATATACTGTCCACTGCCAATTTTTGGGCCGAAAACAACAACAACAAAAAGAACAACAGCATTGGAGGAACAACTGATCATAACTTAACAGGCTGCTGACAAAATAATATCGAGGATCCAGCGATCATGATCTATAGTAGACAGTACTATGTTTGAAGTCATGGCATTTAAGTAACCAACAAACCCATAAAAACACTTCTAGCTACTCAGGTCACACAATCGTGAAGTTTTCTCAGTGAAAAATCGGTTGCATTTTGTTAATGGTGCAGGCGGTAGTTCCAGTGGACATCATGGTACTATGTAACGAATGTATTGACCTGACCCAAGAGGTGTTATGCAGGTAGCAGAGAAAGTGAACTGTCTCTGTCAAGATATCTAATGATTTAACCGAGTAATCAAAGTCTCCCTGCCTTAAATGATTGTATATTTACAAATAGAGTTTCTGGTAACGAAGACCTCCCTGAAACCAACCGGTGCCAACTCGGCTCTCTATTAACTACTGATTTTAGGTCCGCCACAACAACAGCAGACAGATCAACCGCAGCAGCAAGGTCAGCAGCAGGGACAACAACAGCAAGGTCAGCAGCCGCAGCAGCAATTACAGCAACAAGATCCAGCGGGTAAGCAGACCTGCATTATGCAAGGAACATTGCTGTCTGTCGGAATAAGATATTTGGTGTAATGATAAACGCGAAATAACGTTTCAAATAACGTTTTGGATATCCAAGACTAAATAACGAAAAAAGTGAATTGGATAAATAATAACCTTTTTCAATCTTTGGAAGTCTGCTTCAGCAGTGACCATAATGATGATAAACTAATAAATGAATAAATGGACGAAAGTTAAAAATCGATAAAGAGATATACGAATTTATGATTAGATTAATATATAAGTTTTTGTATAAAGTGTCTATATATTTTAGTTAAAATCTACGGGTCTCTTAGCTTTTCTTAAATAATTGTCACTGACATTTGTTTTCCACCATTTCAGCAAGTACAGCAAATAACAACAAGAACTGCAAGAGTAAGTGCTTTACTCTACAGCTGGGTAACACAGAATGTAAGATCATTTGTGATCCTCCATCCATTGAACAGCCAACACAGTCCCCTTATGGGCTCTATCCACAGCAGTACGGTCAGCAGTATCCTTATGGAGCCCAGATGCCATCACCCTGCATCCCTCCTGCCTGTCAGCCCAGTCAGTACCCCGGTTACATGTCGGCTCAGCCATATCCTGCAGCTGGAGCCTATCCTGCTGCGGCTGCAAGCACCTCACCTGTTCAGGAAGGCTGCGTAGGACGGTCATGTGACAAAAAAGAGCCACAGTCTGATAAACCGGCTGAAGAAAAACAGGAAAAACAAGATAAACCGGCTCCTCCTGCCCCAAAGCCTGCCCAAGCTCCGTCTCCATACACTTTCCAGGTTCGATGTTTTAGCCCGCTCGATCGTTACATTATTCATGCTTTTCGCGTGATACAATGTAATAAAACGGTCCAATTACCTTAAATACTATTTAAAACTAATAGGTAGAGAATGGCGAGAGCCGGACAAAGCAATTTTGAAATACATATTCAGGCATATGGTTAGACGTATTTGTAGCATTTAGCTTCTGTTCATATAAGACTTGGACAATATTTATTCTAAACTTTCACTAAATAACCTTGAATATCCCTGTAGACTCCCGGCGCAACAGTTGTGATGGATCCAATCAGTATCAGTCAGCAGCCTGAGCCTCAGAAACCAGTTGCTCCAATGATCCCGGGTCAGATCCCAATGGCGATGCCTCAGCCTCAGCAGCCTCAAGCATACGCTGTTCCCCAGGCCTCCCCTCAGGTCCCTTATTCCATTTCCATCTCAGGAGTGGCTGCACCGCCAGCGCCAGCCCAGCCCCAGGGCGCCGCACTTGCACAGCACTTCAAGCCTATGCCTAATAACTGTCAGGATTATAGCACGCCAAGATGTCGCGTCTTCCTCGATTGGCCCACAGGTATGGAATAACTCAGTGATTACATGAGATACTTACCATGCGTCCAGGACAATCATGGTTAAAGCAATTTTTAGAATTCCTATGCTTTCGACAACCAATTAAACCTTTGAGCTAACTTTAAAAAACTACTGACTCTGCGAGACAAAACTGTCAGAAGAAAAGTCTCTCTTCCGTAACTTCAGCTGTTTTCAGGTATGTATGGATCAATCGTATATGTGTTTTGATTTTGAGGTCAATACTGCTGAAGATAAAGACACCGCATCATCGAAAGGTGCTTTACCAAAAAAAGGTTAGCTTTCCTAATCTTCTAGTATACGTATTGTTTCAATTTTCACAGATGAGCGTAATGAAATAAAAGCTTCACTAAGATTCAAACAAAACTGGCACAATGATTACAAGCGTCCATCTTCAACAAAGTACAAGATCTTTGCTACTGAGGTGGAGAAAGCGGTAAGCTTTATTACAACGTATTTTAGGTTTTTTTCGTTTTTTGCATAAATGCGGCCATACAACTATTTTTGTACCCTGCATGGACTGTCCCTTGCGAGACAGATTGAAGACATGCATATGACTAACTATTTCCTTTTCAGGAACTCAGGAACAAATATTGAAATATTGGCCTAAGAGTCAGTTTCACTGTCGCTGGAGCAGAACATGATGTTCCAGTGCTGTTTGCTGTATAGAGCACACCAAAAACAAATCTTTATACTCGTTTATTACTTCATAGCAGGTTACGTTGTGTGTGTGTGTGCGTTTTTTTTTTCTTTTTTTTAAAGAATCACAATCTTTTTTGCATCACAGATAAAAGACGTTTACACCCAAGACAAGAATTTTAGAGAGGTCAAAGTTACCAGCTTTAGGTAAGATCTTGTATGTTATGAATGTTATTGATACGAGATTCGAAGAGTACTGAATGATCCAACTTACTCTCGTGTTGATTTACAGCGAGGAAGACATGAAGGTAGCAGCCAATTTCCTTATTGAGTTTGCTCAGCCAGAGTACAGCGCACTGAGATATCTTTCCCGCGCTATCTCCGAAAACTACCTGCAAAGCATGCCGGTTTTCAAGAATACGTTGCTGAGGGAAGGTAAATGCAGAGGAAGATAATCTTGAAAATATGTAAATTATCTTAATACTGAGAAAGTTGTTTCGTGCTCGGTGAGAGCTCGCTTTAGGGTTATTGTTTATGATTAGAGCATTTATTTTCCCACATGGCCCTTCAGCGTAGTAAAATCTGGCAATCAGTATTTCCCTCTGGATGTTTAAGATTCCTAAAACAGAAAAGGTTAAATTGTGGGCATTCATATTGTGCACTTCTGCAAAAATCTCTTTCCATTTTTGAGTTACTACTTCAGTTTCTCCAGGAGTAGCTCGATAATATTTGATTCTAAACCGATTTTGCTAGACATGTTTTTCTTTCTTTAATGTTTTCTTCCTTTTTCACGTAGGTATCGCGCATCGTCACCGATCAATTGTAGCCACTCAAAAGGAACTGGATGCTGTTCCTAAAGTCAAAGTTGTGAGCAGCCATAAACAAGAAGATGAAATTTTGACAACTTTGTCAAGCGGTCTGTATTAACTTCTCTCTGTTCCTTAAATAAATGGTAATTTCATTGATATATATTTTTTATTTGTTTGCTTGCTTGCACGTTGTGTGTAAGTGATCACTAAGTTCTCTGGAAGTTTTTTTGCTTTCATCTTTGATTTGTGTCAGTTTCCAACCGATAATAAATAAAACAATAGAGTTAATGTACGCAGGCATAAATATGTTTGGGCCGGACTCTCAGTCATTTTAGCGGCGAAGGTTAAGATGACTGAGAAGGACTCAAAACATATATCCAAGAGCATAAACTGTGTTAATATTTTTATCACTCTGAAGGGCATTGAAAAATTAAAAACTGACAAAATGATAGCAAAACATTCTAAACAAACACGTGGGTGTGCGAGTGGGCTAAAATACAGTTCAACCGCCACAATCTCCTTTTAGCCCGCAAAATGTGCCGGACGAAGAGATGATAACTTCCATTAACTATGTTTTATCTGTAATTGTTCACTGTAGCCTACCTGGGATGCTACAGAGATAAAAAACCCAATCGTGATCTAGGAAAACAGTTCACAAAGTATGAAATGACACCCGAGTGGTGTGTTGGCAAGTGTAAGCTGGGCGGTTACAAATATGCAGGGCTACAGTATGGATATCTGTGCTTCTGTGGCGATAGGTTTGGAACCTACGGCAAGGTTGATGACGCTGAATGCGACAGTTTATGTTTTGGTGATAAGACAAGATATTGTGGAGCTTTCTGGCATAATTCTATCTTTTCTGTCGGTAAGTCATCGACAATGAATGAAAAACTGAAACCTTATTATTTTCAATTATACAATTTAAATTTCGCTCTCAAAAATGCGATAAGAATTCAATCCCAGTTAAAAGAAATGTACCAAACGTTTCGAAAAAGATCGGAATTGTCTACAAAGTAATAACATCTGACCCTTTTTTGAAAAAAGATCGCGAAAAACATGAACCACCTGCAAAAGATGAGCCTGAAGAGCAGGAAGACAGTGGATCAGGGGAATCTGTGGAAGAGCCAGAGGACAAATATGGTTAGTAACCTGGTCTGAATTTCAATTAGCTTATTTCACCATCATTAGATGCATTTGACATTTATCTCTTTTAGATACGCAGTGACCGAAGTGGGATTTACCTCGCCCACACAATAAATTCTACGTGTAATCCTCGGTTGTTTTACCATCTCATCCAGCTCAGAAATGTAGTGGCATTCCTTGCTCTGGTCTTTGAATGTGAAAGAAACACTTGACGAGTCATCATGTAGCTGATAAACTCCCTAACTCTTTGAAAGTATTATATCGTTTTGCTGAATCTTCCCTCTGTTTTTCGTTTGCTTCATTTTGTAATTAATTCCCTACAATATTTTGTTCAATAGCGTTCTCACTCGCCACATTCTTTGACACAGTAACCACTTTACGGTGAATACTTGATTGCTTTAGCAAACAATCTGGAAGGTTTTATTGATTTGGAATAACCTCAAGTTGATTTTATTTTCCTTTCATGTTCATCACTTGATATAACCAAGTACCAGAGCACAGTAAGTATTTGTAATTGTTAGTGTATATAAGCCACGGATGATTTTTCATGGTATTTGATATAAGGAACAACTGTTTCTTCGTTTTACAACTCTTGGAAAAAATTCACTATGCCTTTGCTTACACAATAATTTCGAAATCGCACTCCCTAAGTTCCTGCCTTTAATATTTTGCCTTTTTTTCTTCATAGCTGAAGTTGCTAATCATCTCATGAAAGGTAAGCGTAACTCCAGTTTTCAAATGACCTTCATCATGAGCACGTGATGTCAATGCCTAAATTTTATATAATAAGTTCATATTATTATAATATTAAATCTCTAATTTTCTGTATTTCTTTTAGCTGCGGAAGCTGCCCTGAAAGGTAAGCGTATTTGTAAGGAGCTATCATATAAAGGAATAAAATTCAGCCTGGGCATTAAATGCAGCTTGAGTTAATGTGATATCACTATATTGTGGATAACTTTGAGTTCATGTATGCTCTGTTGAATAAAGGTGAAGCCCCATAAAGTTATCAACTAATTAAAACTTATAGAGAGTGAGGGCCTTTTTGGTTTACTTCTGTCATTCAATCCCAAGCCCACGCTATCTGTTCTTGGTGTTGCGTTAATCCATTTCGGGAATTGTAGACTCAAATTCTGCGGGTAACTGGATCATTTCACCTCTGGTTTTTTCACGGTGACTGTAACTAGCCTGTGAAAACTCGTTTATAATAGTGCTGATTATTCTTATTTTTCAGCTGCCAAGAAATTGCTACCACGTGAGTATTCTCTTTATATCTTACAATGTGCTAAACGGAATGTTATCAATTTGACTCCGCTTAAGCACGGGTAGAGATTGGCGAGTCATGGGATCAAATATCCATTAAGTATAAATATGTATTAAAAAAAATTTAATGAAGAAGGAGATAAATGCACAATTTACAAATCACCGCCTTTCCCATTCAGATGCTGATCATGGCAAATCCAAACGCGCACCAGATGAAGAATTTCAGATGCAAAGTGAAGATGCACTCAATTCACTTGATGGTAAGTACAGTAAACAAGCACCACACTCTCTGACCATTTGAAAGCGTACAGTGTTTAATTAACTCATTCTTTCTTGGTTTCGACAGAGGCCGAGAAATTGATGGAATCAAAGGATGCGTCCCTTCAATCAACGACTAAAGAGAAACGAGACGCAGAGGGGGATGGTCGGGATCTTCTGGTAGCTTACTTGAGTGACGTAGGAGGCTACGACAGAAATTATCGTGATGTTGGAGATGAGGACGAAAATAGTTCATTAGGTAAGACTACAAACATAGCCAGACAATTGTGCGACAGTGCACTGATCAGACGTGGCTGGATTGCAAATTGAATTAGAAGGGACTTAACATGGAGTCGCAAAATGCACGCCACGGCGTTAATGAAGGGACGGATTTTATTTATTTATTTATCCATTTTGCAAAAGTTAATTGAAAAAATCGACCCATTTCCATCAATAACATGACGTACATTCTTCTACCTCTAGATAAAGGAGTGGTTATCAATGGCTGTGATTCTCAGATACTATTCAAGCCTACTATCCTGTTAACCATAATTTTTTTGTTGTTGTTGTTTTTTTTGTATTCACAATCGTTTTAGAGTCCAACGACAAAAAGCAAAAGGTTGAATACCGAAGAATGGTTATTGATGAGTCAGGAGATGGAGAATTTGTCGAGAAATCAAAGAACAAGGAACTGAAAGCCAGAAAGCGCCGAGAGGTCGCGGAGCCATGGGACGAGAGCTTTGACGGACCAAAGAAAATGGCTTCCAGGGCAGCTCCGGTCGAGACAGCATCAAAGCGTAACGTTATTCCAGTTTCCCTAGGTGATACTGAAGATGACTTGACCATGCTCAATGATGCTTCGGGTGAGGATAGCATGCTTGAAGCCAAACGAAGCCAAACTTTTCAGCCATTAACATCGGAAGAAAGCTCGAGCGCGGCTGAATCCGGCAACGGGGCTGATGCTGCTATTGAATCTGGTGACATGGATGTATCTGATGAGCAATCCGGGTTTGAAAACCAGGAAGCTGACGAACCAGAGGAGTCAGGCGATATTGCTCAGTCTGGGAAGACAGACTTACGAGAGGAATCTGGAGAAAAGGCAGATGAGGAAGAGAGCAAGGAGACAAGTTAGTGAAATCATCAGAGATATTTAAATATGGTCGACTAAGCGTCACCTGGGCACACTTCGAATCTGTCCAATAATAAGCTGGCAACACAATTTTCAAGTGATTTTTGATAGAAATTTTGTATTCGATACAGTCGTGCTGTTATCCACACGTTTGACCTCAGCGTAATTTGGAAATAAAGGAAATATAAAAATATTACAAAGCTTATAAGATTATCGCGTTCGCATGATCACTGATTTCCATGGCTATGGTGTTAAGCATTATATAAAATGATATAGTATGTTTTTCTCATAGATTCCGCACGTGTTGTCAGGGCAGTTGAAAGCGAGAATGATAAAGTCTCTTTGTCTCGGCATCGTAGAGAACTGCCGGAAGTTTTGGATGAAGAAGATAAAGCAAAGGAGAGATCCAAGGTGAGAAGTTTTATAGAAATCCATATTCACACGATAGTTTAGTAGTAGTAAACCTTTATTTAACTAGGGTAATCCCTTCAGAATACTTAAAGGTATATCTGTTATCAATAGGAGCCCTAAATTAAAAACTAACAAAAAATTTTAAAAATAAATAATAAGAAACTAAGTAACTAAGTTAAAATAGTAAAGCATAACAATTAAAACTGATTCTTATTTAATAAATAATCATTGTACACAACTGAGCCATTATAATAAAAACTTTTCTTGGCGGTCTCAGTTCTTACTGAAGGTAAGTATATAAAATTGCTTCTTCTTGGTTCTCTTGAAATGACTTCCATATTCAACTTAAAATAATTTTTTAAAAACTGTGGTACATTATTATTTAAACACCTCTTCACTAAACCTAAAATACGAGCGTTACGGCGATCTTCTAAACTCTGAAAATTAAGATAATTGGTGGATGTTGTACCCCAGGGTCGGTGAATCAGATCTTGTAATTTCGTTTTGATGCGAAGGTTTTCTTTTTTTGTCAGTAAAATAATCAGCCCTTTTGCATGAGAAAATTCTAAAACTGAATTCCATCCTAAGAAGATAGTCGAACCCTCTTTATCACAAATTACTCACAAGATGAAAGAATTTCAACGGCATTAAGTAAAGTAATGTTGTTGCAAAAGAAATGAGGCATTGTTCAGCAAAGAAGCACCACGAATGAATGCGATTAAAACGAATTACAAAAAGAGTCGAGTTCAGAAATTTTATGCGAAAGAAACAGCTTTCAATCTCAATCTGTTTCTTACCCGTCTACCTTCTCTGAAGGGATTTGTTAGTGTGGGGCCCGAGTCTTAACTCTATGTCAAGTTTGTTACTGGGCCGGGTTAAACTGTTATTGTCAGGATAAGACTCTTGTTTGCTTGTAATAAGCCTTATACATCTGTATTTCAGAGACAAGATTTCATGTTGAATGACCAAAAAATCAATAAGATGCAGGACCAGGTCACTCAAGGTACAAAGAAAGTCATTCAGTTGTTATTACTTGAATTAAAAATAATAACTTTAACTGTTGCTGTTGATAAATCTCTGCTGTCTCCATTTTTGGGTTCTTTGTCTACTTTAGCAGAGCTTGTATTTGTATTGGCATTTTTCCATAATAATGCCTCCAAGGGATTCAGTAGTTGTTGCGGTTTACATTTTATAATTCCCATTTGTCACCATTTAATGTTTCATGATGATCACAAATTAGTTTTTGTTTCTTTTCACTGCATACTAATGTCTCCTACTGATACTTTAACACACACGTCCAAAATTTGCTTTCCAAATTCATTTTGAAGTAAATTTGACCTTTCCCCCTTTCTTTCAGGAGTGGACAATGTAATGGGCCTGATACTAGACATATATCAGTCGAAGAGGACTCTGGCGAGATTGGGGCAGGTTATTAGCCAATTGAAACAAAATGTGATGCAACAGATGGATGTGCCTGTTGGACAGAGAGATCAAGCAAGGAACAAGCTCAGAAATACCGTTCGACACACTCTAGTGCATAAAATTAACGGTGAGAACTGACCTATCCAATTGAAATATTTTGTCTGTAATTTTTATTTTTCAAGTGACGTTTGCTAGTGAAGGTAAAGTGCATGCTGAGACCAAATGTCAGCTTTATCAAGCTTGGAATCCTGTATTCAACCTTTTTAAGAAGCTATTGAGAACATTGAAATTTTAGCTGCTTCTCCATTTTATACTTGTATTTAAGTGACTCTGAATTTCATTGTATAAAGTTAATTTTTAATCTTAATTTTAAATTATTTGAGCTATTGCTTCACCATTTTATACCTGTATTTAAGAGACTTTTAATTTTATTGTACAAACTTAAATTTTAACGTTAATTGTTAGTTATTTCAATTTCTAATCAATTAGGTCTTGACAGTATGTATTGGGTTTTTTAGATTCTTAATCTTAGAGGCACGTACGTATTTTGAACGAGCTCTATGAGCTCCTTGACGCTACGTGGGTAAAGAAAGTATTGATTGATTGATTGATTGTATCAGCTTTTGGTTAATGATCAAAAGTCAGGCTGTGTTTTCTGCACACGACATCTTGATATATTTTAGCCAGAGATGTTTTTTATCGATTTAATTTATGTTTGTGTCGCTAATGAGGACAACCTAATTTATCCTGCATTTCAACTTTACATGTCCATGCTCTTTGATTATCTTCAGAGCTTGCTCAGTCAATTCGACAAGAAGTTGAAGATTATAAGCAGAGTCACCAAGCAGTAAGCCAGCAAGCCAAGGAGGCCATCTCAGCTCTCTTGGACATTCCCGTTTTCCAAGATAAAGTTAACAACTTAAAAAGCTCAATCAAGAAAAGAGCTGCAGATATTGAGAAAGAATACAAGAAAGCCAAGAGAGGCAGCGAAGAACTTCCAAGTATTTTAAAAGAACACTTCAAGAGAAATGCTCCTGCTGATGTAAAAGGGGAGAAGAGGCTTTCACGCTCTCACAGAGATTTGAATCTATGAAAGAAATCACACAGTTGCAGCGGTGACACCTCGATGCACTTAAATTGCGTGCTTCTAGTAATAGATCGCGATGAAAAATCTTTGATGCAATTTGGGAGTGTTCAGCGTGGGAAGGAAAGCTTATGGAGACTTTGTGATACTTTTTAACCGATTAGACGAACATGTAGACAACTACATGAGAATTTTACATGGGAGAATATCGCAAGGTTTATTTCAGATGTTTCGGAAGATCATCTCATGACCTCATCAAGTAATCTCATCAGTTTCTTTTCGTCAACTGTATAGTAGTAGCTCTCGTTCGTTCAAATTTTTCTTTGCGTGAACGTCCTACTTTTTCTGCGCTATAACCCTCCAAGGATCTGATAATGAACCTTGAAGAAAACAGATTACAAATGAAAGTGAGAAATTTCATCACCTCGCCTTAAGGGCTCCAGCAATTAGCACTTTGAAAACTAGTGTTCCATCGGTTTTAAAGATTGGTTTTTACCAGTTATGATACTCATTATACAATGGAAACTCCATGATATTGTGTGGGACACTGAGACACGCTCTACTGAGACAATTTTACGGAGCTTACCATAGAAGTTTACGTACACTTGTCTAATTGTAACACCCCACCCCAACTTTCCCTCTCCCCAAAGACACACACCCCTTTCAACAGCTAAGTATATTACACATCCATTCATCGTCATTTTTCTATTTGCAATTTACGGAACAGTGGGTGACATAAAAACTTTTGCAATTGATGTCTCTCTGCACGGGGTACTCCAACACTCACTCTGAAGAGTTCAC